CCCAGCCCTGCAGACAGGCTGCCATTGGCACCCCCCCACCCCCCATCAGCCAGACAGCAGGGGCTCCGGACGCGGCCATTTGGAATGGGACTGGGACTTTTGTTCCTAACCCAGGACGAAAACCGCCGTCTCCTCAGCTCAGAACCCAGCTGGCGCACGGGGGGCGAGGGGGTGTGTGTGTCGTGGCAGCAGGGCAGGGCAGGGAAACTCCTGCCCAACCGATCCCACCCCCCTCTCCACGTCACCGGGCCGTGCAGCCCAGAGAGGAGGGACCCAGGCAGCCTGTCATTCCCAGGAGAGTGGCGAGGGATCTCCGCCCGCGCGAACGCAGGCCGTGCCCTCTTAGGTGTAACACAGACCGTTCTGCACTTCATCTGGCCTCCCCAGGCCCCCCCGTGCCCGGGGAAAGGTCGGCCACCCTGGAGGAGGGGCAGCCGGCGGCTGGGCTGCTGTGCAGCCCAGAGAGGAGGGACCCAGGCAGCCTGTCATTCCCAGGAGAGTGGCGAGGGATCTCCGCCCGCGCGAACGCAGGCCGTGCCCTCTTAGGTGTAACACAGACCGTTCTGCACTTCATCTGGCCTCCCCAGGCCCCCCCGTGCCCGGGGAAAGGTCGGCCACCCTGGAGGAGGGGCAGCCGGCGGCTGGGCTGCTCGGCTCCCCGGTTGGATTTCGGCAGTGGGATCGCCCCTCTAACGTGACACAGTGATTTCCCCACGGCCTCCCCCGCCCCTCCAGGAGGGGATTAAAGCCTCGGTTGCGTCTTTCTGCGGGGACTGCAGGGCCGTGTGTCATCTGCTCATCCTGCTCCGGCGCCCTCCCCACCGGGCCTGTCTCGCGGGGCGCTGGAGGCTTTGCAAGCGGCCGGGACGCGCGGCAGAGGGGGGAGCTCGGTGCGGTGGGGCAGGCGCTAGGACTCAGGCTGCGGCGAGGCCGGGGACAGGGGCGCCCTTGGGGTGCTGCGCAGAGAATGGGGGAAGGACACTGACAACGCCTCCCCCAGCTAGAGGCAGGGAGACAATGGCTCTCCCCGTAGAGACGGCCACTCCCCCGGGGCAGCCCCCGACCCTCTCTGAGCCAGTCGAGCTGCCCTAAGTACGGCCGCCACTCCCCCAAGCCCAGAGCCGCGCCGCACGCTGCCCCCGGGTGATGGGACCTGGGCGGGAGGAGGGGGGGCATGGCAGCCCCCAGGACTCTCACCTGGCCCAGCCGGGCAGCTCCCCGGGAAGCAGCAGGGGGCGATGGGAAGGGGAGAGCCGTGCCCACGGCGCTCAGCCCAGGGAACGGGTCTCTGGTCCCTGTGGCAGATGGGGACATGGCCCCAAGCCACAGGGCCCGGCAGAGGAAGGCCCAGGACCGGAGCCCCACGAAGCTGGGGAGGGGCAGGGACGCGGTGCCGAGGCGAGGCAGTGCTGTTGGGGGCAGATCTCAGGGGACCGTCCCGCGCTCCCCATGCCCTGTCAGGAACACGGGATCCCTACAGTTCCGTCCGAGGCCACCTCCCCTCGGGTCGGTTGCCACGGCAGCCAGAGGAGGGAACCTGGCTAACTCCTGGGCTCTGGAGAAAATCGTGTCTCTGCCCTTCCGTTTTCCCGTCTGTGAAATGGGCCCCAGGGCTCCAGCCTTCCCTGGCACGCTGAGGGCTGCCGGCGCGGTGTGGGACGGATCCCTCTCCTGCCTCGCTCCTGCCTGAGGGGACAGCTTGCCCAATGGGTAGCGTGCCGCGCCAGCCCAGGACTTGAGGAGACTGCGATCCAAGTCCCCGCTCTCTCTCAGACTGCCTGAGCGACCTGGGGCAAGTCACCCCTCAGCATGGCCCAGGGGACATTCGGCCTGCGCTGCCCCTCCGGGGCGACTGAGGGGTGATCTGGCCCCTTCCAGCTCACCCTTTCCCTATGCTTTGCCAGCCCCGGGGAAGCCCAATTGCCTCCTGGGTACAAGTGGGGAAACTGAGGCACGCCCATGGATGCGTGTGGACCTCTACAGCAGCACAAAGCCCCGCGGGAGGCAGCGCGCGCTGCGCCCCAGGCAGACTGGCTTGTGAGGCCTTGGGATTCGCACACGGCCATCCCCTCCAGAGAGCTGTGCACACGGGCCGGAGAGGATCAGGAGGAGGAGGAACGGCCTCTTTGTGATGTTGGCAGCCGTGTGCGTGGGGCAGTGACCTCCCTGTGTCAAGGCGCCAGGCCGCAAGCCCGGCTCCACCAGACACTACACCAGACCGGGTTAACCTAGATCTTCAAAAGGTCACTTCTTCAGGAGCAGCTAACGCGGGGGGGCGAGGGGAAATCAATGCAGCAGCCCTTGGGGGGCAGGCTGGGAGCACAGCACTGGGAGCGCCCTGCCCCTCCCAAGGCGTCGGCGGAAGGCCCTGCTTTGCGGGACCTCCGCTGGGATTCGCCCTGCGTCCCTGGCAGCCCCAAGAGTTTTGCTTCCCTCCCCCTCTCGGCGTCGCGCTTTAATTAGTATTTCCAAGTGGGGTGATCCCTCCGGGAAGCCACCGTAAAATACCAGCGAGGACCGCGAACAATGAGTCTTAATTAGCAAGCGCTTCCAGCCCCGACTGCTGCATGGGCATGGGTGGGGGGGACAGGACAGGACAAACCACACGGGGTCGGGGCGCCAGGAGCCCGAGGGCTGCTGTGCATGGAGCTGTTTACTGCAGGCTGCCTGGAGATTAGAGACAGAGGCTGCCCCGGCTCTCACTCCTTTTATCACACTTGGCATTGGAACCAAAACCCTTTGGCTGGAGAGCAAAGTTCCCACCCAGCGGCTCCTGTGCACGGTCTCAGACACAGAGAGCAAACAACGCTGCACACACGGGGCTTTGTCCTCGGAGCCTGGCACACACAGCACACGCCCCTGCGGAGAGTCATCGCACTCCTGTGGCGCTGGATAAGAAACTGCCACCTCCTCTGGCATGCTGGCCTGCCTCTTTGGAGCAAGGTGGAAGGCCCCTGCACTGCTGGGATAAACCTGCCTCCAGGGAGAATTCCCTCCTGACCCCAAAAGTTAGATGCAGGTTTATGCTCTGAAGCATGAGAGTTTCCATCCCTTGTAAGTGTGAAGCACGTGCACAGAGACACACACACAGACACACACGCGTTACCTGTCTGCCTTCGCTTCTCCAGACCCCATTCACAGTTTTCGTCGGGGCGATGGTCACCACGGGGGGCGTGCTAGGCACGCTGTGCCCGCCCGGTGGGACGATGATGGGCCCCATGGGTCCTCGCTTGGGCGTGCTGGCAGGGGAGCTGTGGTTGGTGGCTGGCGAGGAGACAGGGGAAGACTCGCTGCTTATTGAAGACCCTTTAAAGAAACCGAGAGAGGGGGTCAGAAGGGAAATCTTTGACCACGCCCTGGAGAGCAGCACGTCACCTGCTCACCCTCACCACCGACAGCCGGATCGTCAGGCTGTGGAGTCGGACGTGTCGGGCTCCGGGCACGTCCGAGACACACGTGAGGCTAGCAGATCACACCCTGTGCTGTGCCTCTTCTGAGCCGCTGGCCTCTCCGAATGGGAGCTCGCCCCCCGGGGACTCCCCCCAACGTGGTGCTGAGGGATCCGGGGGGATACTGAGCTCCACACTGGCTGTCACAGGCCCGCAGCATCGCACCCACTAGGAACGGTTCCCAGAGTCCCTTTGCCCTCACCGCCCCACCCAGCACAGGGTCACGCCTGTCACTGGAGCCCTGCCTGGCCCAGGCTCGAGGGCTGGGACAGGAGAGGGGCTGAGGGGCTCTTTCTCTCTCCCTCCCGAGCAGGCCTCCCAATGAAACGCTACGGAGGCAGCAGGGCAACCCAGGCACCCCGGCCACCAGCCCGAGGCCCCCGCAGGCCGGTGTAGAACCCCAGCGGGTGGCAGGTCTGCAAAGGCCCCGGCGGGGCTGAGCAGATCTGTGCCAGCCCGGAGGTGAAGGACGGGGGAGATGGATGAAGGCAGCCTCAGGCACTGGGGCAATTCCCCAGCCTAATTAGAATGGTCCCGCTGCTGGAGGGAGAGCAGCAAGGGCGTAGATCCCCCCAGCATGCTGAAGGAGGTGACCTGTGAGGCGGGTTTGCTGGGCACGTCTCAGGGTCTATTAACTCCTCTCTTCCCCGATCCCTCAGGCAGAGATGGCGGAAACCAGCTTCGGTTTCCAACTGCGGTGCCTTGCTGAGGCGACAGACCCTCCCTACCTCCGGCCTGCCAGAGGTGGCCGCACTTCGGTGGCAGAGCCAGGGTGGGAAGGACGGTGCTATTCCCAAGAGACCGCGCTCCCGCCCAGCCGGCCGACGCTGGCTCCCTGCCCGGGGCGAGAGAGGCCCCGGGGGAAGCGGGACGCCCGCCCGCAGGAGAGCTGCTGCCGCTGAAAGGGGTCAGAGGCATCCAAAGCCATTAGCCGCTGATTTATAATTCACGACCCCTCGATGCAGCACGCGGCGCTGTCGGCGAGCGAGCACGTGGGCCGCCCGGCGCTCATTAGGGAGACGCCGCCGTGCGCTAAAAGGCTTTGCCACACGCCGTGTAAATGGCCCGGAATTGATCCTCTCTCCTCAGTCCCCTCAGAATAGCTCTGTAACCTCCCCCCCCCCGCGTCGGCCAGTGCAGGGGTCCAGCCCGGTCTGCGCCGCCCACAGACAGGAGGGGCTGGGCCGAAGTCCGTTGCTGAGGCCGGCTGTGCAAATGGCTCCTGCCTCTGGTCCTCTCCCCCCGGGCCGGGCACACTTGGGAAGCAGGCCCCTTGCTGGGGGGATGGGAGGGCCCGGTTTTTCCGTGGCAATTTTCAAGGCCCTCTGGCCCATAGCGGGGCTTGCACGTTGGAAAATCGGCTCTCAAGTCGGCAGCTCTGCTCAGCCATAAGACGGGGGCTGGGTGTCATATCACAAGCCTGCCCACGGGGCAGTTTGGGGTGTCACACCCCCTCCGCCCCCAGGAAAAAACAGCCAGCGGAGGGGTGACAGCAGCGCCCTCCTCAAACAGCACCGGAGTCTAATTCTCCAGCGCCCGTCAACGCCTCAGCCCAAATCGCCCCATGTGACGTAGTGGGGGTACCTGGCTGGTTTCTACGCTGCTGGCTCTGGGGGAAACCCCAGCAGCTGGGGAA